TCAAAACTCCTACTCTGCAGTGCGTCCTTGACTAATCGCCCGAGTTCATTGAAATCAGCTTTCCTAAAGTCTAGCACTTTCACCCTACTAGTTACCTTACCCACTCGACGTCTTATGGTGAATTCTATTATTAGGTGATCACTGTCCCCCAGATGGCTACCGATCAGTAGGTCCCCAACCATGTCATCCCCCGTTGCCAATACCAGATCCAGTATGGCATTCCCCCTAGTAGGACCGTGTACCTCCTGTGTCAGGTGGAGGTCCTGCAGAAACCTGCATGAGCTGTGGGACTTTGCTGTCTGACTCCCAGCAGATGTCCGGGTAGTTTAGGTCCCCCATGACTACTGCCTCTTTAGCTTTTATGGTCTCCGAGAGTTGCCTCAGGAGCCCTGAATCCCTTTCTTCCCCTTGATCATCGAGTCCAACCCCCTGCATATGATTATGACCCCCCTTTCATGATTGAGTCTATTGGATTGTGCTAATTATTGTGCTCCAGCAGCCTCTGCGTTTCATGTGTTCAGTGTCTCCATGTTTCAAAATGACAGTGAGAGCGCTTTACCTAAAGCTTGGTAGTTAAAGCACCCTTGCTGCCATTTTGAAGCACGGAAAGCTGAATACACGAGATGCTGCGGGTGCTTTAATTCACAGTTTCTCAACCCGTGGTATGCGTACCCCTGGGGGTACATGAGAGACAGGCAGGGGGTATGCAGGTGCCAAAAACCCCCATAGCAAGGGGACACCACTGCACTCCCCGCTGGGTTTGCACACAGTCGCTTGTCCCACCCCCCACCAAAGCCTGCCACAGGCTGCTGCAGGAGGAGGAAGGTGAGCACACAGTCACCTGTGCACTCTCCACCAACCCAGCCACAGGCAGGTAAGTTTCTTTCTTTATCCTGCCTGGGCTCGGAGGGGGGGGAGAGGAGTTGCAGACTGAGACCCACACAGTGCAGGAGGGAGTGTGGTAGGGGAAGGGCACTGTCCCACTCCCTCCTGCACTGTGGGGATTACCCCATGACCTGGCCTGCCCGGGACCCAGTTCACTGCGCGTGGGAGAGAGGCTGCCGCTGCAGGCTGGGGCTAGTGGTGGCACCAAGCTCTTCCTGGCACTCAGGGCGGGCTGCAGTAATGGGAGGAGGGCTGTTGTCAT